TCCTGGCATCGCTACTAGGAGCAAGGACGCTACTAGGGGCTCCTGGCCTTACTACTACGAGTAGTCACAAGAAGCACAAAAACTTCCAAGGTAGACTCCATATAGCCAAACAGCCCAAAGTGGTTTTTGAACGTGGGGAACACTCCAGCAAAATGGGCTCGAATTGCAACCGCTGTTTGGCAACATACCAGGCCCACTATCTCGGATGGAACCAAACTCGTGTTCTGCAGCAAGCTAGTGAACACCAGTGGAAGGCCAACTTTGAAAACAGGTCCAAGTGAACCGGACTTGCCGAACAGAGTACAAGCGCGGCATAGACCTGAAACATGTATTGCGTCTGTTCTTGCCTGAATTTTGAAAAAGAATGCATTTGTCCAAGAGTACCTTCGCTCATGTGGCCTTTGCAATGATAGCGTGGAACATTCCGAGTCACTTTGCAAACGCCGGCCCGTTCGGCTTGGAACACGAAACTCGGCCCGTTCGGCTTTTGGCTCCATGGAGTCTTGGCTCGAACGCAACGCCAAGCGACTGCGACAATGAAGCCAGCACCTGAGAACAAAGGATGGGAAATAGAAACGAACTGCATAACAATAAAGACATAATCCCTGGTCTAGCAAAAAGACAGAAGGAACATGAAAAAATTGCATTCTTGTTCTATTCAATATTTGTTACATTCAAAATTCGATCTGTTTAGCTCTTCTTTTTCGGGTGGCGCGAAGAAATTCTTCAAGGCACTGAGTAAAGCCACCAGGCAAAGAACGAGCAGCACAAAGCGACGGTTTCTCCGGCGAATGAGCATCCGACAGGGTCTGGGAAGGAAGTGCATCTGCGGCGAGGTGATGGAAACCCACTCCGATCGTGAAGCACGGGCTTAAGTCTGTCACTGGAGAGGAGACTGATGGAGACTGCCAAGTTTGTCCATTTTAGCTAGAGCTGAACGACATCCAATTAGCGGCTTTCCTAATGGTGATCGATCCGAATCTGCATGGAAGGGGTTCTATGCGAGCAAGAACTAAAGCTGTCGCTGACCGCCTGCAAATTGCCTTCCCGTTCTTGATCGCGGAGAATCTCTCCAAGCTCCTGAAGAGAAATCCTCGTCTTTAGCCGATCTTCGACATGGCGCCGTCGTGAATGATGTAAACATTAGGAGCTGCCGAATGAACGCCGATACATAACGTGTTGGAACGCTAAACAGCACAGGGTGTTGAGTATCCGTCAATTACAAGTTCACTGTCAACGAATTTGTATGTAAGTGTTAATAGCAGTGGCCTCCAACCTACTAGCTTGTTGCTCCTAGTAATAAGGCCAGGAGCCCCTAGTAGCGTCCTTGCTCCTAGTAGCGATGCCCTTTGCTCCTAGTAGCTTCTTGTTACTAGTGGCAATGGCCTAAATGTTGGAAATGGATGTGAGCTAAATAGACTCTGTATCGACACCTCTGGGTGAACTGAGCCAAGGTGCTCGGAGTGGGATGTGGCGCTTGAAGCTATGGTGGAGGAGCTCACCTCGGGGCTTAAGCCGGCAGCCTTTAAAAAGATTGTAGGAAGTATCA